ACCCACCGCCAACTCGTGGGCTGCTCTTTCACGTTATAACACCCCCCCCACGGCTGAAAGGGCGAGCATGTTTGGTGTGACGGGGATTCAAACCCGCGACCCTCAGATTACGAGTCGAGCGTCCTAACCACTTGGCCATGCCGGGCCTATTTTAATTAACAGTTTAATAAATTCTCGGCAAAGGCTTAGATTTCTTAGACATCAAGTATAAAATTGATAACATCTATAGTTTTTCGTGATTTCGGGCCTGATTTTATCATGTATTTCAAGTTAATTAAAAGCACAGCAAACTTGGACACCATACTTTTTGTTGTAAGTAGACAATAGATTAATCTTCCCAGAAACAACGAATGTTTCAGAAAGCTTAAATATTGTTCCCACCCACAAAACCATTCGTCTCTTTTGGTGATAGGTCTAGACATTCCCTTGGATACCAGAATGAAAGGTTTGCAGTCTAACACATCGTACAAACTAGTCTGAGGAGGTGGAGACTGTGGAAGTTCGTCGAATATGAATCAAATCTTCGCTACCCCCTTTTGACACAATGGACAATCATCTTACACATCAGCTAATAAACTCAACACCCACACCACTACAGGTTCAACGGTCTTAGAAACTCAACAAAACCCACATTTTTATCTAAAAAAGGCAACCTCGTTGTTGTTTACAATTGTAAACTTAGCTGGGATTTACACCATTTTATCTCGATAACGTCCAGGTATATTGCTACCTTACACAGTGCCCTGGTATAATGAAATTAACAGTCTTGCCATAAAGTTCGCATTGATGATATCAATCTGCAATGAAACACAAGCAAAAAAACTGAGTCGAAATAGGCCTATCAGCACCTGGTATTTTTGTCTTTTCCATGTTCAAAAGTATTTGTAGTTACGTACACTACGGGCATTTCGGCTAATACCACGATTTAGGTGCTCATGTTCATGCCCGAGTGCAGTGGATATATATATACATACATGTGTGTGTGTGTGTGTGTGTGTGTGTGTGTGTGTTGCACTTGTGTGTGTGTCCCGCCGTTGTGAAATAAAAATATATCTAATTTACATGAAAAAATATATTAAAATTTTAATTTTGTAGTCTTGAATTTGAGCTTCATTTTCGCTTATTTCAAAGTTACCTAATAATGTCACACTGTTAAAACCTATTAACATCATTTCATAAAGCAGTATCTAACAAAACTACATATTTAATATACTTTAAAAGTTGTTAAAATATGAGATACCTGATTTCTTTTTTTCTTGTAATAGAGATATGGCATTCAAAGTGTGTCCTTGATCTTCTGTATTTCAGAAAGAGTCTTGAAGTTTAATGGAGTAACAGTTGATAAATATAATTACAATTTATAACCGTGTTCTATAAACACATATTTTATTCAAGTTCTTTTCGTTATTCAGAAGTTTTATTATACTTACAGTCGTTATTTTAATGTGTGTGATGTGCGGTATTCATAAATGTTGCCTAGGAATAAGTTTTAAATAGATTAAAGGGGTTAATCTTGTGGATCTAATAGATTTCGTCTCGTTTCCCTGAGGTAATGAAAATACTAGTTTTCGATCATCCCCGGCAGGTCTTCATCAAATATATATAGCTTATTTAGAAAAGAAATTTCGAGGTACAACATATTTCACGCTGATAAGTTTGTTTTAAATTTTGCGCAAAGCTATCTGCGCTAGCCGTCCCTAATTTAGCAGTGTAAGATTAGAGGGAAAGCAGCTAGTCATCACCACCCACCGCCAACTCTTGGGCTACTCTTTTACCAACGAATAGTGGGATTGACCGCACTTTATAACGCCCCCACGGCTGAAAGAGAGAGCATGTTTGGTGTGACGGAGATTCAAACCCTCAGATTGCGAGTCGAGCACCCTAACCACCTGGCCATGCCGGGCCGGATAATGTGAAAATAAAACCTCTTATTTCTGTGGATTCTTTGTATTAAGTTATGGGTTTTACAATTTGTTTGTTTGTAGTTAAGCACAAAGCTACAGAAAGGGCTATCTGAACCCAGTTTCTAGCGTTTTAAAGGCCGCAGACATACCGCTATGCCACTGGGGTTTATAAACTAGACATATCATACAAGAGGAATAAGATACGACTCAGACTCTGTTATGTACAAATATTTACATTGTTATATTTTGCGCAAATTTCTAAATTTTAAAGTGAGACTAGAGACACGGCAACTAGTCAACATCACCCTCACAGCCTTTAAAGTGCAGATCGCGATTTTTGTTTTAGGTGGTAACAGGGCGCGTACCACAGAACCATGATCGGTCCCAAACATTTGGGACTAATGTTATTGGACATTTTAATAGTCATCGAGATTCACAAAATAATTACTCATCTTTAACAATGAATGCCTTGCTTGTAAAATTTTACAGCTCCACCAATCAGAATCAGGAACAAACAATCCTTCCAAGCACGTTCACCTCAATTCACCTAGATACTATATTAGGCCTGCAGTAGTTTGCACTAATGTACCTGAATAAAAGCGGAAGATTTTTGAAACGTCGTCTTCCACACTTGAGCTGCGCAAGTACATTGTATAGTCACCAATATATATATATATTTTTTTTTTTATAAGTTTCTCTAATTAGCAGTTGCCGCCCATTTCACAGTCAATTCAACCTCATGTATTTTACAAGTTAATCCAAAACAGGACTTTTATATTAATGACTAAACTTTTGTTTTTCGCACGTTTATCTCAAGTTTGTGGTCAAGCTTGCAACGAAAATAGCAGTCAACCCTTGTCAAAATAGGTCAACTTATGGGTCCTTTAGAACCAATTCCAAAAAAACAACGCAACAATAAAAAAGTGAAAAATGAGTCCTACCGGATTTATGTGTAAATTATACAAACACTTGAGGAATTTAATCATGGTTAGGAAATTGTGAAGTTCAGCATTATGCTCTGTGCAATGGCGTTGCAGTAGCTGAACGATGTTAACAAAACAATGAATATGTTCAGCCTAACTACAACATTAACAGATAACACAACTACCATCGAGCAGTTCCTCCAGTTAATCTATACACACACACACAGATATATATATAAACTTAAACAGGACAAGGTTCATATTGGTCAATCTAATGTGTGCCATCCACTAAACTTTAGAATGAAACTGAAACACTCAAATCCAGCTCTTATTAAAATATTCTTCAAATCTTTTACAGTAAATTAACTGCATCTGTCTTCATCACATCTGAAGCCAACTGATTCCAAAAGGGCCAACCACCTTGTTATAAATGTAAAGCTGTCTTATGTCTTAACCGAAGACTTCTTCCCTGTTCTTATACTCACCATTAAGAAAAGAAAGACAAAAATAAAGATTCATCAACACTATTAATTCCCTTAACAATTTTAAACACCTCAATTATACCCTTTTTTTTTTCAAGAAAAAACAGTTTCAGATATCTTAACCTGGTCTCATATGATAACTTTTTCATCCCAGGAGTCATCCTAGTAGTCTTCCTTTGAAACTTTATCAGTTCAGTGTTGTTTCTAAAGGAGCCAAAGACTTAACATGGTACTCCAATTGATATTATAACCTCATTAGGCTTGTATTTCTGTCAATGCAACCTAAAACCCTATTTGCCCTGCCACTAGCAACACCTTACAGTTGTACTACGCTTTGTAAAATTAACACTTAACAAAATGAAAAGTTTTTGTGAAAAAAAAACATTTTGCTACAGTGAACAATAATGCATACTGGTTTTAGAACATAAATAAAGAGTTCAGAATCAAGAGACAATATATCCTTTTTTTATTACATGGATGAATATAAGTACACAGAGAATGAAAGTCGTAAACACGTTTTTAATGCTTGAAACACAATTCTTAGAGTATATCAAATTAAACTTACAATAATATTTCCAACCTTTAAATATTACAAAAAAAAAAGCCCTTGAGAATTGGGCTTAGAAACGTGAGACATTTCCTTTTGCCCAATTTTGGTATCATTGTTCCTGTTTCATCAAAATGGTTGTAAAACATTTGGTTGTAAAAAATAAAATAAACCAATTAATACTAGTTGCATGTAGAAATAATTATAAAGCACGAGTACATAATCTACAATCTAACGTGCATATCCGATTACATTTTATATCAGAGATATGCAAGTTAGCAGTACATGAACATGTATCAAATTAAAAACTTCAAGGGTTCGAATAGCTTTGGGGGAAGTTAAATTTCGATCTTATAATATTTATTAATAAACGCTAAACAGTGTGCCAGATCTTTAATGTGCGTACAAATAATTTCTTTTAAATACAAATACGATCAATAAGTCCGCAAGAATCTATACGTGAGCACAAATACAACGTATAACATTAAATGTGTTAAATGTTTTGTAAAAAGTAAACAAAATGAAACAAGGACACACTTTGATCCTTAATAAATCTTTTCCATCATAATTATTCAAGATATAACTGTACTAACAATTCCAAATAATGCACTCCAACTTGCAACTGAAAATGGTACAGCAGTTAGTAGAAAACATTATGCGAAGTAGAAAAATACAAATCTTGTGCAATAAAACATCAAAAGTTAATAAGCTCTTTTTAATTATTATTATTATTTAATGTATTCAATTTTGAGCTATTTTTCACCTTTTACTTCCGTTTCCTAGATATCTTAAATTTTGTACCACCAAAAATTGTAAGTACTATTAATCCCACCTGGTTCGTTTTCAAAGCCGGCAGGCAGTGAGATCGTTATTTCTCGAAATTCGTGGCTTGCGAAAAGTAATTAAACATCTTTAAAAAAACAAAAACATTGCATTTACATGTTTATATTGCAATCTAACATTTCAGTAATTACTCAGAGAATTTATTTGAAAAAAAAAATTCCTACAGAATCTTTAATACATTTTACAAAATAACTATTAATTCTTTCTAAGTAACTAAGTAAGTTAGGTAATCTGTCAACTGTCGTAATGTACAGAAGCCAATACTTATGTTGAGATTCTAGTTTTCAGATAGTACTAATAGTTTTCTCATTTTTCACAATTAGATTTCGTCAAAGGTACTATTTTTTTTAAACACACCTACATAAAAATATTTAAAGAACTTCAAACTAATATCCGTGTGTCAATGAACACCAGAAACAAAAATGATTTTTTTAAACACACCTACATAAAAATATTTAAAGAACTTCAAACTAATATCCGTGTGTCAATGAACACCAGAAACAAAAATGATGTGCGCAAAGGAATAATCTGAATAATCCATGAATTATATTTAATGAAAACATATCCTTTACACACACACTCACACTACTATAAAATGACTATTCATTAGTTACTTCTATGCACTAGAACTGTTTCATGTTTATATTGCAATCTAACATTTCAGTAATTACTCAGAGAATTTATTTGAAAAAAAAATTTCTACAGAATCTTTAATACATTTTACAAAATAACTATTAATTCTTTCTAAGTAAGTAAGTAAGTTAGGTAATCACACAAAAGCAATACAAAATGTGTACAATTTAACAACAATAGGTACACTGAGTAAGACAAGTTAATATCAAAAACTAGGTAAGCTTGAGTATTGATTTTCTAAAAGAATTTTAATTGTATTACGATAATTTCTTAGTTTCCACACATCTCGTATTCGCACATTTTAAACAGATCATATTTTTAAAATCAGGTAACTACACTCTCAAATAAACCTAGACAATTTCCTTTACATGTACAAGATGCCCAATTCAGCAATTTTTAGATCCTTTTTTTTTTCTTATTAGTTACTAGCAAGTTAATTTTTTAAATAATATTTCGTGTTTTAAAACCATCTATACAACAAGTTGGAGGGTTATTTTTTTTAAATAAATTTTTCCATACCAAATTATTCAATGAAATAAAGTCAGTATTTTTTTTTTTGTATTCCATTTTAAAATTTGACTTGTATGTTTCTTAATAGTAAACTATCTGGACTTAGCCACATGCTCACAGCACCTAATTCATTGACCATACATGAAATATGCTATTCATAAAAAAATGCTCATTATACATCTAGAGCTACTGTTGGGATGTTTCAACATCAGACTCCATCATTATTACACTATCTAAAAAACAAAAAGTTACATCTAGAGCCATTATCAGGATGCTTCAACATCAGTTCCTATCATTATGACAATGTTTAGAAAAACAGAGAGTTACATCTAGAGCTACAGTTGGGAGGTTTCAATACCAGGATCAACCATCATTATGACACTGTTTAGAAAAACAAAAAGTTACATCTATAGCTATTATCAGGATGCTTCAACATCAGTTCCTATCATTATGACACTATTTAGAAAAACAGAGTTACATCTAGAGCTATTGTTGGGAGGTTTCAATACCAGGTTCAACCATTATTATCATACTATCTAGAAAAACAAAAAGTTACATCTAGAGCTACTGTTGGGAGGATTCAATACCAGGATCAACCATCATTATTTTACTATCTAGAAAAACAAAAAGTTACATCTAGAGCTACTGTTGGGAGGTTTCAATACCAGGTTCAACCATTATTATTATACTATCTAGAAAAACAAAAAGTTACATCTAGAGCTACTGTTGGACTACTTCAATCACTGTGACACATCCAACAATAAACAAAAAGCTACACCTACGGCTACTGTTGGACTACTTCAATCACTGACACATCCAACAATAAACAAAAAGCTACATCTATGGCTACTGTTGGACTACTTCAATCACTGACACATCCAACAATAAACAAAAAGCTACATCTATGGCTACTGTTGGACTACTTCAATCACTGTGACACATCCAACAATAAACAAAAAGCTACATCTATGACTACCACTGAACTGCTCCAATACAACATAAAAACATTTGAAAGTAGCTCTGAAAAGGTTAGAGATGGAGATACTAATACATTTTCAAAGCAAAGTACACAGCCATCATCAGCGCATGAATCATAACAGTGACTACTTGAAACTTTATATATATAAAAGCATTAGTAAAACACACGAAGGTAAAATAAGGTTATAAAAATAGTCTTAGCCAGATATAAGTACAATAAATGTTCTGCCACTTCTGCTAGCAAATAGTTCAATAAGATGTAAAAGAAAGATTTTAGACATCACATTCATATAAAACTATTATTTTCCAAACTTCTTTAATTATGTTTAATTTTATATGCACAAGAACACTTTGTTTCTCACCTTCTATAGTTTCTAACAAGCTTTTATTTTCTGTTAAACAAATAAAAAAAACCACCCAAAAACTTTTACAGTACACAAATAATTGTACTAATTGATTCCCATGGGAAAACTATCACAGTGAACTAAATCCCAATGTTAACTACACATACAAAAAAATATCGCATATTATTAAGATTATGCTTTGAATGTTTAAAATTTTTCCACTGATGTCTAGTTTGTAATACAGATAAGCATAAACATAACCTCCTTTTAAAACAATCAGCAGACTATTAATGCGACTACCACATCAATATACGAAGTATGAAAAGTAGACGTAAAGCAATATTAACTGTCAGAGGATTTAACCTTACAAAACTTTAAATAAATAACTCAAATCAGAATAAAAAAATCTTATAAACTTGTGCAGTGCCATAAACGAACAAACTCAGTCAGATCAAGAAAAATGCCTCAACAACTGATTGGTTGGTTTTAAAGACGTGTAGTTATGATGATCTGAAACTAAATGAAATCACAACTACATTAACAAAGATAATTCAAAGGTTTACTTAATAATACTAACAAAAAAATGAGTTGTATCTTTTTAAGTACTAAATATCTAAAGTTTCCCTTACACATTTACACGTCACAAATACTCTTACACATCACAAATACTCTTACACATTTACACGTCACAAATACTCTTACACATTTACACGTCACAAATACTCTTACACATTTACATGTCACAAACACTCTTACACATCACAAATACTTACACATTTACATGTCACAAACACTCTAACACATATACACGTCACAAATATTCTTATACATTTACACGTCACAAATACTCTTACACAATTACACTTCACAAATACTCTTACACCATTACACGTCACAAATACTCTTACACAATTACACGTCACAAATACTCCGAGAAAAGGATTATACTATTCATAATCGTTTCCTCTAGAAAAACGAAGAGTATTTTGTTTTCAAAATTTATAGTGCACGCTGGAGGGATTTACAGTTTGGCAATAAAGTTTAAAATTATTTTTATTCTTCAGATAATAATAAAATATATTTCAGCCAAAGTACTACTAGAATCCATGAAGCCACAATGACAAAACATTGGTTGAAATAACCATTATTATGATTAGCTGGAGAGTAAACATAATTTTTTTTTCTAACTTTATGAACAGAATTTTTTTCATGTACATAATACAATTATTGTAGAAAAATAAATTAAGTGGATAATGTTGCTTTTAAACATATTTTCTGCTTACAGAAACTCCAACATGTAGAAATACCAAAGTCTGGCACCTACACATTAGAAACCAGTACAGTTCTAAATCAGTTCACACGACTAGTCAAAATATTTACAAATAGTAAACTACTATTTATTCAGCCTAGAAGCTTCTAGCCTTCATTACTCAGTTGCTGATGAAATTAGGCTGGATTTTAATTACATATCTACCAAGTGACACAAAGATGCCAAAGTAAAGCTTTCTTTCAAGATTTTGGGCCAGAAACCAGCCACCTTCTAAAAATTACACTAAACAGATCTGAAAAACAATGTTATAAAATGACAACCAGTTCCACTTGTTGTTTTTTTTTTTTGCTTGAAAGTTTTTTTTTTATTACCAATAATTTCTGTACTATATTTTCTAAACTTTGATACTTTAAAAACAAATAATACAGTGCACATAAAATATTATACATGTATTATGTTAGATCTGTACGTTAAAACATACTGGAGAAACAGTTACTTAAAGCTAGCCAGATATATATAAAACAAATAAATGAAGCATAAAATTCCCAACTGAACACAAGAAAGGACAACATGTAGGAATTTACATAACTGGCCATGAGTTCCAGGAAAAAGATTTCACCATGAAAAGCATCAAATATCAAACATCAATATTCAGATCAAAGTGCATAAAGCTGTAAATATATGAAGTTTAACTGTTATTTTAAAACAACCAACTCAAACATCTTCATCAGGATCAAACAAATCTTTCGAACACCAACGAGTACTAATAGAAATTTACAAGATACATTTGTAAAACAGAGATTAAAATCGAAAGTATATTTGAATTTGGAAACACAAATATGTTTATGAGAAAAGGACTCGCGTTTTCAATTAGATCAGTCACTAACTGATGCAATATTAGAAACATACTTCAAGAAAGCTTATCAATGGAAGCAAAATAACCTGTCTTGACTTACACATCTAATAAGAAAAGCAACACCAAATATTCATTAAAATGGATCATAAAAAAAAATGATGGAAGAACACCTTTCCAAATGTTGGATGTATAATCCTAACAAGTATTGAGAAGAAAACTTAAATTAAACAATTAAACACCTTTTTGTGGTGATCGAGGGTCAGGTCCTTGGGCTCTAAATATATTGATTAACAAGAACATCAAAGAATGTCAATAACAAGTTGGCTAGGTACACAGAAATCTAGCCTACAACAGTTACTTAGTACAGTGAACTATGATGTACAAGATACAACTGTAAGCAGCATTTGGCAACCTGTTTTTTGATCTTTGGTTTCCAGGAGACAATGAGTGAGATTCTAGATGAGCAAAATATGCTGGTTGAAGAAAGCTGAGAGAAAAGAAGTAAAAATCCAGCAGTTTCAAGCCTTATATGTTGGATTCCTCTCTACAGAGATGGCACAGCACAGAACCATGGAGAAGATTAAGCCCAAAATCTAGAGAAGTACAAATAAAACTTGTTTATATAACAACTAATTATCTTGTGTTTACTGTAACTTCTACATATTTTAAGGTTCTTTAAAATCCCATACACATTAACACTAAATAGTACGGTTTACTTGCATCATTTTAAGACAAATCTCCAGTGTAACCTGCATTGTTAAATATCTTGGTTCATAGTGTTATTTCAAAGAACTGTTAACAACGAATAATTTGAAAATAAAAACAGCAGGAGAAAAATGTATACTCTCTAAACAACTTTTAATAATTACTAAACCACTGAGCTGCTTATAATAGTAGTTGTAATATATTCAATTTATTCCAGTCCAATAATGCAACATGGTAATAGATTATAAGAACGACCTTAGAATTTAATAGATTTCAGATTCTGTATGTGGTGATGTATGTCTCCTAAGTAATCTAATTCATTGTTGGACTTCCTTGCTTTACAATGTTAGAGTTGAGTAGGCTAAGAGTAGTTCAAATCTTATGAAGAAAAAGTTCCAACTTTATGTTTAATTGGGTAAAATTCGATGTATCCTGATTTTGCCCGATGTGAAAAAAATGGGGTCAACCTCACACAAATTGCAACAGAAAATTTTTCAAGTGTTTTACACTCATTAAGGTGTCCTCTATAACATATCAAAACCTGTAAGCAATGCTAGTGGAGAAGTAATGTTTAAGATTACAAAAATTGGCATAAAATAAACTTTTATTTTAATGAGAACTCAAAAAATAATGAAATACTGCTGCATGACACGTAGATTAATACGCATTAGACAAAATCAAGCACTGAAAAAATTAACACACTCCTTTTTATTAAGTATTAGCAAAAAATACACCTTTAGTGTCAGTCAGTCTTTATATTCAGCCACGTCATTGTCGTCATTGTACGCGGGCCAAATTTGCACACCAAGAACCTCTGCAATGTCCACAGTCAGCAACTCCAAGACGTGCTTTTTGCATGTACATCTCAGGCTGCTACAATCTGTTTGGCAGTTGTATTGGATCACTCACAGAAGTTCTTCAAGAGCAGGGGTGTAAGTCTTCTATCCACATCCTTCTGGTAAAAACTCATCACCACTTCTCTTCCTTGGCTGAATTTGGTAGAAAACACAAAGATTGTGGTACCTATGTAGGTGGTAGACTCTGTGGTTGCACGTGGGAAGTGCCAGCAATTACCTTTTTCCAGAAGTGCTTATATCGAAGCGAAATGAGGTTCTCTTTGAGATCTCCGTTATAGATACACACACATACCAAAGCATTATCATCTGCTGTTACAATATCTTCTTTAGAAGCTGAAATTGTGTTAAATACCCTGGCCTGCTCATGAAAGTTAATGCTGGTGTTGAATTTCTTGAGGAAAGTTCCCTTTCCAATAATAAAGAGGTAGGAGATAGTGTCGCATCCAAGGAGGGCATGCAAGAAGATGATGTGGGTCTAGTTGCTCCTTCACAAGCTTTATGTTCAACGTGTTTTTGTTTTTTTATCTCTTCTGGTTCAAGTCAGAGGAACAGGTCATGTGACTTGAGGCTGGTGTGGTAGATGAGCAGCTCTGTGTCATTGCCAAGGGGTTGGTCACAGTTGCCGACTTAACTGTTTTTTGCACAATGAGGTCAACATCACCAAGAGAATGATGTGTCCAGCAATTCACCCTCTGTAGACGGTCACCGAGTGAATTGATAATCCCTTGTTTGTTTGCTTTGTTGGCCAAGAATTGGTCCTTCTTCATTGTAACACTCATGTCCTCATCAAAGATCACAGTTGGTCCAACATACACTGTTATTTGTCTTTTATGTGTCATATCCTTTGTGGAGGTACTATCATAGCTATAAAACATGACAATTGTCTTTCCATACTTTCCTGTGATGTATTCAGTGTAAAGAGTGCATGTTTCCTTGTATGTGTATCCAGATGTCCACAGGATATGCTGAAGTATTGCCCCCACCATCCAACATGTACTGAAACCCTACCTGTCATCCCTGGACATCTGCTAATACTGGTTTCTATGGCTCTCAGAGCAGCAATGAGGAATCATACAGAGCTGGTGGATAACTGCACAGTTCAAACTTGAAAACTGATTTTAGGTCATATGATGTCTTTGCAGCAATCATCAGTAACTGGAAGAGCAGCTAAGGATCAACATGCATGCATGCATTCAGCTTCAATCATCACTGTAGATATTTTACGTACGGTTATGACTTGATCCTTCCTCTTAAATGTGTGCTCTGCAGCCATCTGCCCATGCATGGAACCTAAAATGTTGTGTGCAACAGATTTTGCCTTGTGAACATTGACTGTGAACTTATATACTATTAAAATATGGATTATTAGCTAAGCTTTCATGCTATACTAATTGGTATAACATAAACAAAAAGTAGATTCATAAAACTTTCAATGTAGAACACTGAAACCTTGTGTCAAAAGCAGTAAGGGATACCAGTGGCAATAGGGTTAAATCAATAATATTATATCATTGATGTTAAAGGCATTACAAAAATAACTACTTATATACACAGACATTCACAGATTGAACAGCTCATATATACAAAAGTAAGAAGTTTGAAAATACTGGATTTGTTTTTATTTTACTTTGAAAATTGAGCATCGTTCATACAGTGGAATTCAGTAAATGTGATTTTTTTAAACTTTTTTTTATATTATTAAAATATTTGTTTATATTTGAAATACAAAGGGAAATTTTGGTAAACTGTGCTTAAATTTCACCCATAATATTAACATAAGTGTAAAAAAGTCCAGCTTACTAATACTAACTGCTGCTCCCAGATGTCCAGTTATGGTATCACATTTTCTAGGCTTGTTACACATCAGAGGTCATAATAAACCCAAAACCTTAAAGTACAGTATTAAACAATGTAAAAATCTACATACCTGGATAACAGCAAGTCCAATTGCAACACCAACAACAATCTTAGTATGTTCTTGTAGGTGTTGTTCCAAAACTTTTATACAGCCCTTTAAGTGAAATAAAAAGTTAAAACCATATTATTCTGTTGGTATTTCTTACTTGCCGGTACTTTAATATGTTTATAGCTTTGGAAAACTTAAACAAGTGGTGTACCTTGAAATGTAAATTAACAAGAATTAATCATGTACAAGAATCATTATATGCTACTTCTATAAATACCAGATAGTTTTTGTATCAAGAGTTAACAAGATAGTAACTAATCCTGCAATAGTTAGACCTCATTTGAGTATTAAGTCACAACCTGAGGGGTTACACTGATACCTGCTGATCCTTCATGTACCAGACTAGTGCAGAGGAGGTTAATATCCTGTCAGTAAATATGTACTGGATGTCACAAAGAGGCTTTCCTGCAAACTCATCAGCTTACTTGGTTAGCTTCATACCTGTATGGCCTTGCACATTCATGCTGGTGATGGCCTTACCATACAGTTGCTTTGCCTTCTGCAATCCATCTGGGGATCACCCATTCTGATTACACATATTGCTGCCAATGAGTCAGTTCCAAATATTATGTTGGTAACACTGTTTTATGGTTTCCAGCTCCATATTTGTGCTGCTTGTTGAAAGTTTGAATGTTCCACCAGCTTTCATAGAATGTTGTTGCTCTATGAGACAATGAATACCAAATAAGCTATCTCTCTCTCTCTCTCTTTGGTGTAGGAACCATCTGTGACTATGACTGTCCACCACAGTCTTTTATATATGTGCTGACAGGCTTTTTGTGCTTCACACTCGGCTCAACCTCTACATTTATTAGCTAGACTGATTTCCACAGATCTCAGTGGAACCGAATTTTTCTTCCACATGTAGAAATCCGAGATTTGGTGGTAACGAATTATCTGTCTCCTGAGGCACCTTTCAGGCAATCCCCTGCTTGGTTGATGTGTGTTTTACCACTGTGAAGCTGGAATATCCAAATTAAAAAAAGGTAGTTGCTCAATGATGGAATGCATGGTCTTTACACTGCAAGGCCTTAACGAAGACCAATCATTGGTAGAGCACAATCCAGGATAGAGCAGAAAATACACCTTGGTATAGCATAAGCAGGTTATGTTCTTCAGCTCCATATCTACTCCAACTTTGAATGCACTGATGCCTTTTGTTGCTCTGATTATCATGGCATTAATGTGGTTGGTGAAGATGACTTGTCTGTCAAATGCCATCCACACATATTTCAGTGTTTCATCCAAATGGATAGCAGTGCCTCCAAAGGATGATCCTCATCAGCATGTCTATTGAGTGTGCAGAACATAGCTGTGGCAGGATTGATGACCATTCCTGTGCCATTGCACCATTAGCTTACCCTGCTAAAAGATGGTTGCTTCTTGCTTTCAATTTCAGCTTTGCTAAAACCTCTGCTGTACACCAGAATATTGATAGCAAAAGTTAGAACAAGGCATCTGGATAGAATGTCAAGGTGGGCAAATTCCATGGTGTAGATTTTGAAAAGGATCGACAAGAATAGTTGTCCTTGAGGCAGACAAACGTTGATGTTGTTCTTCTCAGATTGACAGCTTCCACGCTTCAAGATGCATTGTCTGGTAGTTAGTGCAGCTACAACTCATCATACTCATGGTACACTGATAACAATCTTTAGCATTTTTTCAGCATAAATGGGCAGCTAGGCTCTAGCATAGGCATCCAAAGCTACTACTAAAATGTAATGACCAGTTCCAAAGCCTTATCATTTATAAGCTGGAAATTCAGCAGTGTTGATCTAGGTTTCATCTCCATTGCAATAATTAACCATCTAACAATGATGGTAGTAGTGGTTCCATCTGATAGGACATCCTTCTAGCTACAGCCTACTCTAGAATCTTACTAATGTTTTGTAGGACAATGATTTGATGACCTTTAAGACAAGTATGATCCATCATGGATTTGGATAGGAATTTGATAAAGGCATTAGTCAGTCAGTATTTCAGGGATGCTACACACTGACAATCTATACTGATACTTTCAACAAGTTGGCTTCTGTAAGCTTAAAGTGGAGATTTGTACACCATCAAAACATGGAGCTCAATCTTCAGATGTATTTATGGCTCTGTGTATCTTGCCCAAGCTAATGATGACTTCCATATTTGCAAGAAGCTATAGCTCAGATAGCAGCTTCTATAGCTTGAGCCTATCCTGTATGCCATTATGGTTGGATTTATTAATGTATTTGCACATGGTCTTGCCTATGAAGTGGAGTAACATCATTATTGTAAGTTACCGATATCACCATGTCTTTGGTTCTTGTACCAATCATAAACTTATGGGAAGTGCCAGAATGAAGTACTTGTAAGACTGACCTTGCTGCATTTCATATCATATACTTCAAAAGTTGATCATCTGTAGAGAGCACAGACTCTTTTCTGTTCAATCCCTTCCTCCTCTGATTGGGCTAGATCATCCCTTATCTGTATAAACAACTTCATTACGTGCCTTACAGGTTTTGTCAGTATCACTATTCTCCCCCAGTATGGGGTGTTCCTCTTGCAGATGTTGATTAGACTTTGCTCAATGGTGGAATATCAACATTCATACAGGAGATTCCACATTCCAATCTTCACACATGAGATGATCACTGTATGCATTATGCACCCTATACCAGATAGAGATGACACTCAAGGTGGGGTCAGTTAAAACAAAGTCTATACACAAGTCTCTGTCACCTGGGCACTAAGCAATTACTATTGGATCACCAAAGTTAGCAGTATAGGGTTGGTGGGTATACATTGGAGATCAGAATGTAAACCTTTCCCATAAATGTTTTCACCTGGAATCCAAGTGGGGTACAAGTCTCCTATCACTAAATATACAGGAGTGATGTCAAACAAGTCAGAGAAGATCCTCCAACTTTCATCATGTGCTAGTTACGTTTCGCATATACACTGGCGATTCATCTTCGTGTGGATAACTTTGAGTGAACTATCTGGATGTCTTGTAGCTTATAGTGGTAATAATTCCACTAAAAGTTGTCATAATATTCATAATAGATGCTGCCATCTGTCAAACTGCAATAGCCATCCCAACCTCTGGGTCAGCACGTGGTACAAATATGAAGTCCGTGAAAGTGAATTCCTCAAGGTCCGAGAGTTATGTTATTTGAAACAGTATGATGTCATAAAATTCAGAGAAATTCTCAAGATATTATCTGCTTCTTCTGATCCCCATGACATTGCAGTACCCTATCATAATGTGAGATTGGCAGATAAAAGTTCCTAGCCATGTCCACCCTAACAGAACATGCGAGTAATGACTGACCATTAAGTTAGGGTGAACACCGGCAAATAAGGTACAAATATATCCTTCCACTTTAGCAATTGATTAGTCCATCTCATACTCATGCCTGAAAATATACTAAAGTAAACTAAGCTTTTCTGTACTTATTACTAACAATTAAACTCACTGCAGCTAAAATAATTAAAATACTAGAGCTATAACCAACATGCAGTGACACTGTCCTAAGCCTTGAATGAATACATGATAATGCTGTAAGTAGAAAAACAAAACAAATTCCATACTTAAAAAATAAATACAACTTGTACCCAATCAAAGTAGCTGGTAACTATGCGATATACTTAAACTAAACACAGGGTATACTAGTGTGTACCCATAACGTAGCAGCTGGTAAAAGTGTAATTAAATCTAATTAATCATGTACTAATTTAGTACTTATTAATAGAGCCAAAAAAGAAAAGAACAAAAAACCCCTACCAACTGCTTGTTACTAAACCATTACAGAGATTAAGTTAAATGAATGATGATTTAACTGACAGAAAAGTTTAGCACCAGCCAAAGCACAAGATCACCTCCCTTCAATATTGGATAATGTCACAACACATTGTCAGCATGCAAACCAGGTAGCATAGTGTCATCCTTAATTCTCAGCCACTTATCACAGA